TTAGAACTTCTATTTACATTTATTCTTTTAAAATCTCAAATACAAGAAAAAAACTAAGCTTTAATATTTACGTGTAGGTATTGGCATTCTTATGGAGTTCTCATGTCAAATATTTACAAGTAGAAGGCAGGGTGAGAGTTTTGCACAGACAAGGAAATTATCCCACGCTTGTTCATGTTCAGCGTATTGCAATCATTTAGACTTCATAGAAATGCAGTTGAACTGGATTTAGGTATTATATAATATTGTTTAAACTAAATCTCTCTTCACTAAATAAAAAAGAAATTTAATTTCAATTAGGCCAGAATGAGGATAAAAAAAGGTTTGTGCGGAGGGAGTTGGGGTAAATAAATGATACTGGGCATGCTTACCTCTAGGGTTAGGAGCTAAAAGTTGATCTACCCAGAAGTCGGCCAAACAACATTCAAAATTATTCAGAAGAAATCATTGCAGTAAATAGTTACATGCACTATTGTTAATAATGAATTTTAATGTTAGTGTACATTTTCCCTGGAGATTTTCGCTCATGGTAGCACAAATATATCACAGGTGGCAAAATGTTAAAATTTAGCACCCAGGACATGAAGTCAAAATTATACAATATTTTAGCAATGTTATAAATTCTGTGTACATTTTGAACCTGACAAATTTTTACTAATTCAGCAATAAATAAATAGCAAAAGACAGAAGTTCACATTTGACTGAGGTAATAAGTTTTCCTCCTACAGTGGAAATTGGCTAAAAGAGATGATGTGGAATAAAAGACAAAGTAAAATGTATTGCTCGCTATCACATTTTTGTAAGATGTAGAGAAATGTTAGGAAACTGATTAGAATTAATCATTTAGAGTGAAAAATTTGCTCTATAGTTGAATGAAAGTTCAGGTTTTTAAACATGTCTAAGCTTATGATATCTGCAATATTATATTTTAATAATGAAAAAGTATCACTTTCTTTGAACTACTAAAGGAAACATTCGCTAAGCAAAACATGGTCTCATCCAAAAGTGACTACTGGAAAGAAAATAGAATTTATAATTCATGGGGAAAAACTGAAGGGTAATTTTTATATAATGGTTGTTTGACCAGAATTAAAGCAAGCAAACAAAGAGTTTAAGAATTACTTTATAGAAATAGCATCATGTATGAAATACATTCATTTGCAATATTCATAAGAAAGTTTATTACAGAAAAGATGTGAAAATTTAAGCCAGAAGTGGAAAGCAGTCATTAAACACAGATCGCGCTCTAGTCTTACAACGGCACAGTCAGATGGTGCAGAGCCGGACGGGAACCACGTCGGACGCGCCCATTCTTGGAAAAATGTCTCTCCAAAGAGAAGCCTCCCAGACCTCTACCTGGGTCGTTGCTAGCTGGTGAAGCTCGTCGGTGTCCCGGGCACCAGAGAGGAGGCCGGCGGAGGAGGTGAATCGAAGAGGTCCTGAGGGCCATAAGGATGGCCGAGGTGGCAGCTGGAGAGGCCCCTGTAGACTCCGGGAGGCGGTGGCTGCTGGTCACCGGGAACCGCCGCAGTGTTTTGCTTTGAAGAACCACTTTGTCGGCGCGGTGCTGGGTAGAGCGCCGTGGCGTCAAAAATAAAGAATATACAAAGTACAACAAACACCGCAATCTAAACAATGCAAGAACAACCAGAATCATTACTCAAAAATTTTAGCGGCAAGATAATGCAAACAAAAGCAAAAGCGGGGATAGATAATTTTATTAAAAAGCCAGAAGAATATTACAGTTCAGAATGCAGACTTGATTTACCACCATTGAAGAAAAACTTAGTCGGGGAAGTATTGGACATGCCGGTACTATGAAGAGACCAGACTGATTCGACTGATTCTTGAAACAATAGTGTTTAAAGATGTAGAATTCAATGTTTTATACTTTCCTTAATAAAATGAGAATTATTTATACTTGGGAAACAAAACAAAACCTAGATCCCTAAGAATCATAAAGTTATATAAAGAGATAAAGCATAATAATGAAAATATTTTGTACCCTACATATTTATTTGTGATCCCTTGGCATCGTGTTTATAGAATTGTCAAATTTAAGGATGAGCTTCATATTTTTCCGTTAGAAAAGGACAACTTTTCCAACTTTGTTAATTTATTATTAAACAAATACAATTTAATAATATGATAAAGACTATGAAATTTATTTAAAATATTTTGTAATATACGAAATTTTATAATATACAATTGTATTTATAAAATACAATTCGTCATGAAAGACAATAATGACTACTTTATCAGTCCCACAAAGATAATTCTGGCATTTACCGATGAATAAGGAAGCAATTGTCATCTGAAAGAAACTCAGTATAGAGAGGCTTATTTGAAAATGTTTCCATCATTCTAGACTTCAAACCACTACAGTTGTGTCACCTCCACAAACACTTATCTGCCTACATGTACCGGAAAACAGAATTTTCTAATCAGCGTAAAAATCTTCCACATAAAAAATGTCAGTAGGTTTTAAACTAGTAAAAATGTAAAATGAAATACTATCCAATTGATTTGAAATAAAATCGGATTGACATCAAGGATGAAGAATATTTTACAACTGGCCCTATTCAATACTTTTTAGTGTTGGTAGATAAAACCAAAAAAATAAGTTTATGATTTATTAAGTATAAAATGATGCGTTTCTATTTAGTTATATTTGTGAGGGATGTTAGGGATCCTTTGTATCTTTAAGAGCCACTGAGTATGAACATAAACTGAAATTTGGTCTTTGCTATGAACATGTAATCTCATATAATGTAAAATCATGTTTTCAACAAGAAGAAAGCATATTAATTTTTTCCACTCCAAGTATTATGACATAAATATTAAGTACTTTATTATACAAATATATGTATGTTTATTATTTAACATTTATTGTATAATTAATGCATAAAATGAGTTTTAAAACTATTTGATTTATCTTTGTCATCTCATGAAAATTAATAAAATAATAAGTACTATAAAATGTTATTTGTAACATTTTAGAAACAGAAAAACATTTACTGTGGTATATTTATATCATTTGCAATATAATATGATGTGATAGGTATAACATAACATAATACAGTATTTTCTACATTTATATCATTCTTTTGCATCTAATCTAGTTTTTATGTGTATTTCATGAGCATATAAAATATACCGTGCTGTGGTGCATTTAAATAATTTATGAATATAAAAATGCACATATATTGAGAGAAACACGCTGACAACTATTTTTCCAATACGATGCTGTTATCAAGACTTTGGTGCTTCAAAGCCTCAAAGCCTCATTTTTTAAAAGCCGCCACTTCTTTGAAGGTTTCTCTCTTTCGTCCTCTTTTGAAAGTGTTTCCTTCCTTTTCTGAACTTTCGTGTTATTTTACTGAAACATGCTACCCACTCTGTTGTGGCATAGCCATTTTTATCCAGCCATTATCTTTGCTAGGTTACAAATGACCTAAGAGTGGGTCTTGTTTAACTACAGGAGAATGGTGAGTATACAACTAGTTGCACTCAGAAATAATACTAAATCATCTCAGGGTTTGCAAATATGTATGCGGTCATATTAAAAATAATTCTTTATTCTACTTGCAGAACAGCTTCTATTAGGTAAACAGGGTTTAAAAATTAAATCACCTGACCTTCTTGGCAAAAATTCTCCATAGGTTACTCCACGTCAACTCTAAAGACTTATGTTTTAAATTGTTGCTATGTAATGATCCTAGCCTTGCTGACAATCTTCTTACCAGGTACAAACGGGAAATAGAAACAGAAGCTGAAATATGACCTATGTGCATAATCACTCAATTAAATAGAATAAAACTATTGGCTTCAATACTGAGTAACAATGTATTGACTTGTTGGCTTAATTTGTGTAAAGATTGAATTTGTATAAATAGCCAAAGCCATGCATTTGTTTGTAGACGTTGCTAAGGGCAAATGGGAAGCTGGTCTAAATATGAACATCTTCAAGACTTTGTTAATATGCACAGGTTTATGTAAATTTGATATTTGTTTTTAAGGAAACTAATTGTTAATTATGGAATTTGAATCCCTGCTTGAGATCCTTTTAATTCATTCAATATTTCTTTCTCATTCTCATTCTTGTTGTTTGCGTGTGTGTGTATGTGTGTGTGTGTGAGACAGAGAGAGAGAAAGTGATATTAAATAATGAACAAAAAACTCAATTCTTAATATTGGATTATTTTAGACAGGATTCTACTTTTGGTAATTTTTTTTCCGTAAGGGTCTTCTTTTTGTAGAGTAATTTGCTATGTAAAAATATTTATTTTATAACAAAAAGCCATATAAAATACTATTTATCAGTTTATTAATATTTTTCACATTTATGTTATTGTTTTAGACATTTCTTAAATATATTATTTCCTTTTAGTCCTATTACATATTCTGGGAATGAGTTTCAGAATATGCCTATTTCTGTTTTCCACTATTGAGGTACGGCATAATGTAATTTACAATGACTCACACCTAAACCAAAAACAGACCTTTTCTTTCTAAAAAAGAAAAGCAATGAAAATAATTAAGCAAATTAAAGAAGAAAGGTCTTTTCCTTGATTTTTTCAATTAGCACTTTAAAATGTAATACAATAAACTTCATATTTAAAAATATAGCTTATGTGAGCATGCGAAATGATTTCACTGAAATGGTCAATAAACTGAAGGAAGAAATTAGCAAAATTTTCTTTTGAAATAATTCATATTAAACAAAAGATAAACTCAAGATATATTAAAGCTGGGATCTAAACTTGTACTTTCCTGCAAGTTTGTTCTACACAGTTCATCACTGAAAAACAATATTGATATGTTAAAGAAAAAAACTTACTCAGTTTTAGATGAAACTTTTTACTCCGATTTCAGCTTGAAATGTATCAAGACAAATGGAAATATTGATAAAATATTGATTATTGATAAAATTGTTCGCTTTTATATTTTTTCTTGGTATTAAGAAGTCTTTCTGTGTTATCTCTTCAGTGTTTTCACACATGAAAACAGAAATTCAGATTTTAATTAACCCAGTGAATTTGCCTGAAAATATGCTTCCTGGAACACAGCTAAGTCGTGCTTATGATAAAGATGTGGCTGGAAAGGGAGATGTCTACCGTTTTCTGAATAAAACAAAAGATTTTGTCATCGATGCAAGTAAGTAACCGTGACATTTATATTTTTATTTGCTTTATAGTTATTACTTTTTAATTTTACTTTTAAAATTGACAGATAATAATTGTACATATTTATGGGGTACATAATGTTTCCACACATATAATGTGTAGTGATCAGATCAGAATAATTAGCATATCTATCATCTCACACCTTTATCACTTCTTTGTGTCTGGAATATTCAATATCCTCCTTCTAGCTATTTGAAAGTACATATTATTGTTAACTATAGTCATACTACAGTGCTTAGTACCAGTGCTTAACACCAGAACTTATTCCTTCTACCTAGCTGCAATTTTGTAGCTTTTAGCAAGTCTCTCCCTATTCTTCCTTCCCTTCCTCCTATCCCTGCCTGTCTCTAGTATCCTCTGTTCTACTTATTACTTCCATAAGATCACTATTTTTTAGCTTTCACATATGAGTGAGAACACATTTAAGGTTTAGACTGTAAAGAAAATTATTTTGTTGAACCCAAGTGGTACATTCGATTTCTTGGTCAAAATTTGCTGCAGATAGTCACATAAATTCAACACAATTTCTAAAAGGGCTTCCTATTCCCACTTTGCCCCATATTTGTGATATTACAACATTGTCACAAGTGTTGTTTCCTGAAAACATAAAATTTTTTTCATAAAAATGACATGAGAGTCATCTCATTCTTTTTAGGAAAAAAGATATTCTTTGAAAAATAGGAAAGAGGATGTATCCATTATCTATCTATACATCTATCTCTACATCTATCTATGTATGTAATGCATGTATACACACTTTATTAAACTGGCATTCTAAGATATATGCAAGGCCAGCACTTTATAAAACTTCCCATTATTCCATAAGCAGTTATTATGAAACGCAGTGATTATGTTAGTCAGTCAAGCAAATGCATTATCTATATGATTTTCTTATGTCCTCTCTTATACTTGTTTTAAAGTACATGCTTGAAATACATGATAATAATATTAGAATAGGAAGAGATAATTTTGCTTTATAACAATAACTTTTCAAACATTAGATTTTATATGAAAATAAAGGGATACTACCAACAAAGGTCATCTGTGGGTTAGCATAGCTCTTTTATTTATTTTAAAACAATCCCTGTGCAAACTTAATTTTCTAGTGCATTTAAACAATGAAAGCTAAACATTAACCTTGGCTTAAATAAATAAAGTGAACTAAAAACTAAAAATTAACCTTGGTTTAAATAATAAAGTAAATCACCTTGTCTCCTAGGTCTCATACCATTAGAAAAATTTCAATTTCCTGACCTAGTTCTACCCTATCACTGAATTTCAAAAATTATGTTAAGCATCATCACATTTCAAAGTTATTTCTTAACAGTCCTAAATTCAAGATCTGAAAAGTTTGGCCAAAAATTGTTCCTTTAAGGTGAAAAAGATAATAAAATGAAGACAGATATGTTTGTACCAATTTCAAGAAAAATAATTAATACTTATTTTTTGTTTTAAAGTGTTTTAGTTTTGGTACAGTGAAGACAAACATCATAAATAATATCATTAAGTTTTACATACATGTGGCTTAAAAACTAGATCAGTATCACTAAATAAAATCATGATACGGTAGCTCTGTTTACCTTGCATTGTTTATCATCCTTGGCTCATAATCTAATTATTTGAAATTACATTAAAAATTAACTAATTAAATGCTAAGATCGTGTCCCTTTTTAAAAGAACCCCTAGCCAAAATACTATAGCCAATTTTAGGTTGACTTTGCCTGTTTTCTTCCAAAGTGCTTGTGGGGAATTGCAGTGCCCACGGTAGTGAGGGATCACACTTTAGGATGGATAGTTGCATCAACTGAGTTTGATCCGTGAACATAGCGAAAGATGGTGAAGTTCTACGTTAGTTTTCTCCAAAACAAATCCTGGTTTGCTGACTACCAACCCTGATATTGTCAGTGCTTGATAACTGACTGCGGACTGGAATTTTTCCCAAGAAGAAGTATTATACTTCGTCTTCGGAAGTATTAATTAGTCCACGAAGGCAGAAAATACATTTCTGCCTGTCCACGAAAGCAGAAAATACATTGTACTCCTCAAATACATTGTACTCCTCACATCATCCTGTGCCTAACCAGGTGGCTGGATGGTAGAATCTCAGTAGGTTCAATGAAAAAGTGGGACAGTGTCTCGCATTTAAAACAAAAAACAAACAAAAAAGTATTTGTTTTCACAATTAAGAATCCAACCAATGCTAAATTGCAAACGCAAATGATGTTTCTGATGTCCTCTGACATAAGATCAACCTATTTTCTTACTGCGATGTTTTTTTCTCAGTGTATGATTTCTACAGTTATATACAATTTTAATTAGATGTTAATTCTGAAATGAGATATAAGGTAGCATAACCGTTTTATGTACATTTCAGATATTTGTAAAAATGTGTGTGTGTTTATTTGTGAGGCATTCTCAGAAAATGTCAAAATATTGCTGGACGTGATTTTTATAAATTTAACAAAGTGGTTTTTAAAACAAAAAGAATTTTATGTCTTACTCACCACCCAGTGTCACCTCACCGGAATGATTTACCAGTGGCTGAACACAACTCCACACACATAGAACAAGCTCACTCTTTTCCACAGAAGTCAATTCCAACTTCTGTTGATTCACCTGCTCCCTTTTCTCTGTCTACAGGACTGTGCTTGAAACCCCAAATTTTGAATAAAATCTGAACAACTGTTTCCTTCTGACTAGGATCAGATACTGGAAACCTTCCTTTAGTAGGAGAGTTGCCGATTTCCGGTAGTTAGACTGCAATAGGGCCCATCGTCTCAGACGGCTGGTTTGCCTGCCATTCTGACCCAGGGCATGTTTTTTCCTATTTGTCCTCTGCTAGAAGTGATACTACAAACCTTGGCCTGACTCCCAGATGAATCTCCCATCCTTTTTACATAACACTTACCTAATAGTATAGAAATATCTGAATCTGATTATATGGAAAATATGTGCCCCTTAAACTAATGTCTCAAGCTTCTTGCGTTCTCATGCCTTTCGGTGGTGTCCTGTGAAATGGTCATGACTTTTATATGGTAAATAAATAGACAAATAAAATCCCCTACTTTCTCAACCTATTTTGTGACATTTCCCTACCTCTTGGCTTTAACTGAAATTTGCTGTCCTATGGGATGACCACAGCATGCCTCAAACTGATGTTACTCATTCTCCCACACATCTCATATCTCTGGGTCAGGAAGTGGGGAGACGGCATTCTTTTCACTCCACAAAGCTGATTCCTGACCATTACCCTGATCCTCTTTGGAAACTCCCTTGCTCAACTGAAGCTCAGTATATCTGGCTCCTTACCAAACCGTACTAATCAGTCTCCGTTGAGTCCTGGGGACTTGAATATATCACTCACAGTGTTTCTCCCTGTCTCAGATCTGGCCACCATCTTTTAGGCTACTTTGATATTCAGTTTGGCCTCTCCAGCTCTCCAAATTCTCAGGCCCTTTACTTTATTTGGTGTAAATCTCTCTACTTAAATCTCAGTGACTTGAAAATTTACTTCCATCCATGCACTGCCATGGCTGCAGTCAGAACTTCATCAGCACCCAGAACAATATTGCTTTGTATTTTTATTCAGTTATCCTTACTATGCATTTTATCATCTCTACATTTTAATTGTAGTCAAGGGATAGATGCTTCATCTCTGAAGTCAACAATACATTGATTTATTCTTTTGCTCTCTATCATCACCACTTCTCTTTACTTCTGTATCTGGCAGTATGATCCGTCTTTCAACCCTTCCTGGACAATATCTTCAGATAATTTGTCCTGTACTTCTTCTGTAAACTTTACCCATGAAAACTCCAATTCGAGACCCAATTATTGATGTGCCTAAGCTTATGGATATTGTTGGAAAAAAATCACATGAGCCAACTTGTTCACTCTAGATTTTGCTTGGCCCTAAATGCTTTTTGGTAGTTCTTCAAAATTTCTCTAGTTAGATCTCTCTTTAATTTGCCAAGTTGGTTATATTAGAATTTCTCCAGTCTCATCTCAACTCTCTTATTCACCTAAAACCTTTTCTCTTGGCAGATAAAATCAGCTTACAAATTTGAGGAAAATTATAAACAATCAAGAGGGAAATTCCTTAGGCTATTTCCTATGTATAGTTAGTTCTTTGCAATGATTTCCTTCCTTTTGCTCTTCTGCTGCAATAGAAGATTCATGCCTTCCTTTGTCTACTTTCATTCCTTTCAGTTTGGTTGAGTTCCATATCCCCACTCCTCATATTTCTTTCTATACTGATTATCCCCTTTTCCTACATTTTGTGTTCTTCTCTACTGATTATTTTCAATAACTTTCAACTAATCTTATAAGTCTTCCCTATCTTAATAAAATTCACTCTTGCCCTCTGTCTCTTTTCTTTTACTGGCTTATTTTTGACATTTTATAGAACATCTGGCATTTCATCTAACTGGTTAAATATTTTTAGAGTTCTCTACATTTTCCTTACTCCTACACTTTCCATTTATTTTTGAACAAAGTTGTGACAGGTCACTTCAACAAGACATGCCACCATACATAGCAATATTTTTATTGTTAAAAACAATGCCATATTTAAGTCTTCGTCTTATATGTAACCTCTCTTTAAAATTTAGAGGTGAAAATCACTCCTTAGGTTTTGAAACATGCTCATTTTGTTATTCCTATGGCACTATACTCTGCTAGTTTTCCCCTTATATCTCTTCGTCCTTCCCCTCCTCTTCTTCCTCTTAAATTTTTCCTCCATTTATTCTGTACATGTTTGTGTTATTCAGGTCTACTTAGGTTTTCTTCTCTCCATATTCTACACAGTTTACCTTACATTTATCCCTTGACTACGAACCCATCTATGTATCCCTTAACTACAATTAAATATATATTCTGATTATCTGAATTTTTTTATATATATATACACACACACACACATAGAGACACACACACAAAGCTCAAACACTGTGACTTAACTTCAGACCAATATATCTACTTTACAGAAATATTCTCAAATATTTTAAATTGAATTATTCAAATCTGCACAGATTATTTTCTCCAAAAACCTGCTTCTAATATAACCTCTGTGTGAATTATGTAAAACAGCTCTCTCCAGAGCAGATGCAGTCAAGCACTAAGGCATGTAGTCCTCAGCTACTCTCGCCCCCAATCATCATCTACTATTTTGCAGGACATCATAAACACCATCATGTATGGTAGCCTTGCTGCCATCTACCCTTCAGAAAACTCTGTGACAGGCATGCCTTACTGACTCCTTCTATCACACCTTCTGCTTCCAGTCATTCACCAAATTCTATAGATTTTAAATCCTTGGTATGTTTATCACATGTCTATGATTACTGTCTCATGTCACATCCTTATAAGCTCTTGTCTTAGTGTATTTTGTGTTGCTGTGAAGGAACTCCTGAGGTTAGGTTATTCGTAAAGAAAAGAGGTTAGTTTGGCTCATACTTATGGAGGCTGTGCAAGAGGTATGACACCAGTATCTGCTTGGTATCTGCTGAGGGCTTTTATGCTGCATCACATCATGGCAGAGAAAGTCAAAGGGGAAGCAGGCATGTGTGAAGACGAACAAAATCTGAGTTGCATCCTGGCTTTATAACAACCCACCCTCTGAAAACTAATCCATTCCCTCATAACTAATCCAGTCTCATGAAAAGGAGAGCTCACACACAGAAGGCACCAAGCCATGCATGAGAGATCTACCCCAATGACCCCAGTACCTCCCACTAGACCCCACCTTCCAACACCACCACACTGGGGATCAATTTCAACTTGAGATTTGGTGGGAACGAACAAACAACATCCAAACCATAGCACCCCTCTTCTAGATTTTTGCACCAACGTTCTCACTTGATTCCTTCCTTTCAGAATTCCTTCACAATTTTCACTGAAAGTAATTTTACTAATGCACAAACAGGATCATATTCCCACAATTTTTTGCTGTCTATATATAGGTGATACCACCTGTAATTCTTTGCTAACTTTCTATTTTCCCCCCAAGTAAAATCCAAGTTCTTTAAACTGACACACAATTCTTTTTAAAATGTGGCTCCTGTTTATCTTTGCAGACTGAAAAGATACTATTCCCCATTGTATGTTCTATATTTTAGTCTAAACATACATCTCCCAATGCAAAACTTTCTTCTCCCCTGAGCCTTTGCACATATCATGTCTTCTGCCTCCTCTATTCTCCTTCTTCTGACCGACTCATTCACATCCTTCCTGTATTAGTTCAGAAATAGTTTCCTTAGTTCAGCATCTACCCTGTTCTCAACATTAGGGAAAATGCTCCTCTTATGTATTTTTAAACCATTTTTCTTTAATAGTTTTATTTCCCTGATTGAATCCCTTGAGCACAAGGACTATGCCTGATTCAGTTGTTGGTCCTCTTGATGTAGTATACACATGGATGTCCCTATGATAATAAATTCTTAGTTGTATTTCTAATTCTTTACCCAACTCCAGATCTGCATGCCTCCTGTATCTGTTTTCCTGGTGCTGCATAACAAACCACCTCAAAACATAGTGACCTCAAACAATACTGTTTTATCTCTTAAAATTCTGTGGGTTGGCTGAGTAATTATTCTACTGTTATTGCTTGAGTTCATTCATAGGGCTGAATTCCAAAGGCTTGTTCATGTCTATTCCAATGGAAAGTCTACGTTAACCTCTGAAACCTAGCCTAGCAATGTCCTTTAAATTAACCAAAGTCTATCTTTGGATTCTTTAAGATGCCAAAGCCTTCTGATGCTATTACTGGTGACTCGTCTACAAAGTTGTAGTGCTATATAGCACTGGAGAGACAGGTTCCAGTTAGGATCACTGTATTAGTCCATTCTCACATTTCTATGAATAAAGACCTGAGACTGGGTAATTGATAGATCAAAGAGGTTTAATTGGCTCATGTTTCCATGGGTTGTACAGGAAGCATAGCAGCATCTGCTTGGTTTCTGGGGAGGCCTCAGGAAACTTAAAATCACTGCAGAAGGTGAAGGAGAAGCAGGCACGTCTTACCTGGCCAGAGCGGGAGGAAGAGGAAGAGAGAGGGGGAGGTGCCACACACTTTTAAACAACCAGATCTTCTGAGAACTCCATTATGACAATAGTACCAAAAGGAAAAATCGGCCCCCATGATTCAATCACCTCCCACCAGGCTCCACTGTCAACATTAGGGATTATAATTCGACATGAGATTTGGGCGGGAACACAAATCATATCAATCACATTGTAGAAAATTCTTCCTTTCTTAGCCTATCCCTCTAGCCCCCAGATGAATCCAGCTGTTTGTGCTGTGCTACAAGTTGTTTGATACGTTATCAGTAAATTAGTATTCTTGACACCAAATATAAGGGGTAAAAAAATCTTTCTTGGGAGTGAAGGGAGGCCCACAGGATTATTCAGCCAAGTTTTAGTTCTTTTAATATGGCTGGAGGAGACTTAACAGAAGACATCATAATCAATAACCATTCAGTGGTTGAACCTATTGTGTGTTCTCCAGCTTTGATCCAATGTTGCATTTTGAGATTGTTTCTTGTGCTATTAAGAAGGGACATATAAGCTGCACTTCAGTTTGGAAGAAATTCAGCATTGGGTTATTCATTTTGTTATGATTTGAGTTTGCTTGATTCTTATTTTGTAAGATTGAAAAGGAAACTACAAAAAATGTGTAAGAAATTTATTTGTTTCAGTGAGACTCACATTTTGTATCTATTAAATCCATTAGCTAAGACAAGTTAGTATATATAGTTTTATAAAGTATTGCCTATGCATATTACTGGCTTTCTCAAAATTAAGAATATTTTTATTCTTCCTCTAATCAGTAGCTTTTGTGACTCAGGACTTTCTGAAAGAATCTCGCCAGTCACAGTGGCTCACGTATGTAATCCCAGCACTTTGGGAGGCTGAGGCGGGTAGATCACCTGAGGTCGGGAGTTCAAGACCAGCCTGACCAACATGGAGAAATCCCATCTCTACTAAAAATACAAAATTAGCTGGGCATGGTGGTGCATGCCTGTGTAATCCCAGCTACTGGAGAGACTGAGGAGAATCACTTGAACTCAGGAGGGGGGCGTTGTGGTGACTGAGATCGCACCATTTCACTCTAGCCTGGGCAATGAGCTAAATGTCATCTAAAAAAAAAAAAAAAAAAAAAAGAATCTCAATGATTACGTTTGTTTCTTTGCTAAAAACTTGATATAAATTATTTAAAGAATGCCCAGATTAAGTGGACCTATTATTGCTAATAATAACAAAAATTTTAAAAAGTGTACTAGTGTCTGTATTTTTATTTTCTTCATGTATACAGTACTGCCCTTCTACCATGGTTTCACTTTCCTAGTTTTAGTTACCCATAGACAATCACGTAGGTTATTTATTTTTTTGAGACAGTCTGTCGCCCAGGCTGGAGTACAGTGGTGCAGTTGTAGCTCACTGCAGCCTCAAACTCCTGGTGTCAAGCAATCCTCCCTCCTCAGCCTCCCAAGTAGCTGGGACTACAGGCACATGCCACCATGCCCAGCTGATTTTTTATTTGTTTGTTTGTGTGTGTGTGTGTAGATGGAGTCATACTATGTTCCTCAGGCTGGTATTGAACTCCTGGTCTCAAGCAATCCTTCCACCTCAGCCTTTCAAAGTTTTGGTATTATAGGCATGAGCCACTGTGACTGGCCTATTTTTATTAATATAAGATACTTTCAGAGAGAGCACATTTTCATGATGTTTATTAGGGTATATGGTTATAATTCTTCTATTTTATTATTGTTGTTAATCTCTTACCATGCCTAATTTATAAATTTAACTTTATTATAGGTATGTATATATGTATAGGAAAAAACATAGCATATACAGGGTTCTGTATATGCTATGGTTTTACATATATTTTTTATTTACATATATTTACATATATTTTATTACATTTATTACATATATATTTATTTACATATATATTGACATATATACTTTTGGTTTTACAAATTTACTGGGGGTCTTGGAGTATATTCTATATGGATAATGGGGCACAACCTTACTTTCTTTTCTTATCTTCACTTAAATCAGCTAATTGTTTTACATCCAGGTCTTAGTCTAACCTAGTAGGGAATTGATTATTGTTGCAATAAGTAGCATATAAAAGTATCCCTTTTAAGGCAGTATGCCACTTTTGACAACAGAATTCTCAGTGATACAGTTTATCTAGGTGCCAGCAAAAAAAGATGTCAAATCTATTTTATGACTTTGGGATAAACTCATAATAATTAATGAGATTGAACAGAAACAAATGACCTTTTTTTCCTCTGTTAATAAAAAGTAGGTATGTACTGTGATGATAATATTATCTCTGTCACTGATGGTCCTGTGATCTCTGGAAATGATTTTTGATGAAAACTTTCAAGAGACGTATATGGTTTACTAATAATAGAAGTCTGAATCTTGAAACATTTTGAAAAGAAAATAAGTCAATATTTAATATTTTCTATCATTTGTATATTTTGAATCTTCCTAGTGAGGCAGCTGAAATATGTTTAGAACTTTCTTTTTTTTTTCCTCCTTTCCTTCAGCTAAAGATTCAGATGATGCTTGTTAATTGTGTGACTTTGGGTTGACAACATAATCTCCAATTTAAGTCCTTTCTAAAGGAGTTAAAATCTGTAATGCCAAAATCTTTTAAGATACAAAAGTTATGTTTCTATGTACTGATGGTAATTATAATTTGTGGCTTATCTGTTTCATAGGTTCTGGTGCCATCACTGCTACCAAAATTTTTAATTATGAAACAGATCCAATAAGGTTTCTTCTGATAGTTGATACTAGGCTCTCTAGACATGTTTTGACCATTATTATTATTGATGTTCCTGAATCTCCAAACTGTACTGCTGATCCCAAATTTTCTTCAGGCACAGGTATGATGCATTATCTTCCTATAGTTTACTTCTAAGAGCTATGTATAATGACAGAGGCCAGGCATACTCCTTCAGTTAGAGATGATTCAGTGATTCTTTAAATTATGCATATAATGTGTGTTTATATAAATATACAAAACTATGTGCAGACCTTCATGTTTGTAAGAAAACATAACCTCTCTAAGGAATAATTTGAAAAACATGTTTACCCTATAAAAATTTTCATGCCACAATTATGAGGTAGGAGAGCACATACATTAAAAACAGCAATAGAGATTCTACAAGACTTGCCGTAAGAGAAGCAAGACAGGAGAGAAAAAAATGAATAAAAGGTTTTCATAACTTAATACACAAAGTTAAACCTTCACTTGTGAAAATGCTACAAAGAATAATTTAGTTTTAGTACCCTTAAGGTTCAAATTGTGTTTTAGTTTTCCAAAGAAGTAAGGGAGATAGCCATCAATCAAAAATGCACAGAAATAAATGTGAATTTTCATTATAATATGATCATAGAAATACGAGACACTTGTATTACACAATCAAATATTGTGTATGAATGTGGGGCAGTTGACCAAGTCAGAGATATAAGAAAAATTTTCTCTAAAGTATTGACAGTTTACTTTAGCTCTAAACTCTGATAATAGTAAATAAGTAAGAGGAGGGAAAATAGCATTTCATGCAGAAGGAACTGTAGGTATAAATGCCCTGAGGCAGCATAGAACATGTTGACTAAGAATAATTGGAAGTCTAGCATAATTGAAATCAAGCACTAAGTAATATGGTACAAAATGATAATTGAAAAGTAAAGAAGAGTATTTTAAGAATGCCAGTCTTAGTTCTAAGGGTACTGGGAATCCTATAAAGTATTTTAAGCCGATAGATATTTCAAATATATCCATCTTGTTGAGTATAGAGAAATATTAGAAGGGGACGAAGTTAGTCTAGGTATCAGCAAGCATTGTAAAAGGCCAGAAAATAAATATTTTAGGCCTTGCAAGTTAAAAGATAAATTGAGTCTATTATTTAGGTAGTACTTATAAGCAAGGAAATAAATATCTACAATTTTTATTGATAGAAGTTTTAAAAGATAATAACAGTACTAATTGGGTATAATTTTGTACTACAGCTCTGCTAATGAGAGGAGTGAATTTTCACTTGGGAGGGGATAGAATTTCTCTTTATGGGATGGGGCATTAAATACCATCAGCAAATCTCTTTCCTTACTTAGCTAACTGATGAACTGCTTAGAATCTTTTTTTACTGAGTTTCATTGTTAATTATTTTTGTTTATAAAATCTGTCTTCGTGAAATATTTTGTTTTACATTTTCGACTTTTTCTCATCATTGTTTTTCTGTCAAGTGGGAATACTGGGATGAGTTCTTAGTCTTGTTTTTCAGACATGTATTGTATTCTTTTATTAATATCAAAGTTATAGTGTCATTATATAATAAAAATAGTTTTCGGTCACACAACTTAAAAACAAAATAATCCACACTGCATTATGCCTTAAAAGTGTGTCATTCAGTTTACTTTCCTCTTCTTTTCTTATTTTGCAATGGTGGGTAGATATGATAATTAAAAACAATATGGTACTCAGAATGCTGTTATAACTGGATTACTGGAATTTATGGTATTTGAGGTGATGAGAGCACCATGTATTTCCATCACTCAACTCAGTAGCAAGAATGCAAAAATATATAGTCTATAAATAAATGAGTGTATATGTGTTGTTAAAACTTTATAAATACTGAAATTTGAGCTCCATATAAGTTTAACGCGTCACAAAATATTAGACTTTTTTTGATTGTTTAAACTATTTTTAAACCATTTTTATTTAAAGTACAAAAACTAAGCTTACAGAGCATACAAAACCAGGCAATAGTCTAGATTTGGCTCAAGAAAAAAGAAGACATTCATTTCGGTAATCCAGGCAAGGAATGGTATAGTTTGGCCTAGGAAGATGATAGAGATGAGAAAAGGATAATCTTAGGACATATAATATATCTGGTGATGAATTTAGTAGAATGAAAGAGAGAAGGGACTTTGAGTTTTCTAATTTGTGTAACTGGTGTGGAAATCCTCAAGAAATATAGGAAAACTTAGAAATATACCAAATTTGGCCGAGCACAGTGGCTCACACCTGTAATCCCAGCACTTTGGGACACCAAGGTGGGTGGATCACGAGGTCATGAGTTCAAGACCAACCTGCCCAAGATGGTGAACCCTCGTCTCTACTAAAAATACAAAAATTAGCTGGGCGTGGTGGCGGGCACCTGTTATCCCAGCTACTCAGGAGGATGACGCAGAGAACTGCTTGAACCCGGGAGGTGGAGGTTGCAGTGAACCGAGATCGCACCACTGCACTCCAGCCTGGGTGACAGGGTGAGACTCCGTCTAAAAAAAAAAAAAAGAAAGAAATATGCCAAATCTGGAGAGAAAAATCAAGAGTTCACTTTTGCAAAGGTCCTCTTTGATATGCCTTTGTTATGTCAATATAAGGATAGATTTGTGTAAGCAGTTGGGCTTGAAAGTCTTCCCCAGGGCTATTAATGTTTTGTAATTGAAACCATGGACTTGGATGAGATTACTTAACCCGAGAGTAGAGAATGAGAAGAAAGGAGGGCAGAGGGCCAACCTTGAGGAACTCCTACACTTAATGACGTGGGGAAGAAACTCAGCCTGCCAAGGAGACGAAGAAGGAGCTGCTAAAGTGGTGGTAGAAAAAGGTGAATTATATCGTGAATGGCAAAGAAGAACAATGTTTCAAGAGTGCCGGTGGTTAGTAGTCTTATATTCCACAACAAGTAAAATGCATTGAGTTAACAATATCGGGAAAGTGATAACTAATGAGTTTGATAACTATTTTATGGCTGTTATAGGGATGGGAGCCAGAATGGAGCAGATTGATTAGTGAGATTGTAAAAACAGAAAACATCTTTTTTAAAAAAAAAAAAATTTGCACATAAAGTTGGAGAGGATGGAGAGGCAGAATTATATGGGATTGCAAGAGTTGGGTCTGCTATATTTCTTTTTAAAGGGAGACATGAGTAATTTTACAAACATAGAGAATCCATTTGATGAGGAGGCTGAAGACAAATAAATAAGAAAGTAGGTGAGAAATGGGAACAAAGCACAGGTGGAATCAGTCAATCAATCATCTGTCAGTCTGGTCTACCCGTCTATGTATCGCCTAAACACTTCCATGTCTCTATTTACGATTTCAATTGTTTACGTTTAACAAATTTGAAATGCCTTGAAGCTTTAAGATTTTTCTATTCAGATTTTACTTGCAGCTGAATCTCTGGAAAAGTACTAGTGAGTTGGGAGTCCCAATCTGAGTGTATGCTTGAAAGAATTTTTTTTTATCATTGCAGTTAAAATATATACTGAAATATATACTTAAATATATAAATAAAATACTCGAAAACATGCTCTGAAAGATCACGAATGTCAACTATCAATTTCTTTTGAAAATATAAATGAATAAAAACTTACAATTTTTAACTTTGGACCATACTAACAAAAACCAATTATTTATTTCATTAAATGAGTCATATTAAGAACACTTTAAGATTATAAAATAAACTAGGATTTTTGTGAATGCATCTCTATTACATTGTGCTCATATATTACATTTATCTCCTTAAAAGCTACAGCAGGAACATTGAGTACATTCAGAAATGTAATGTTTACTCCATTTGGTTGATACAAACTCATTATTAAATTTTCACTGCAAAAGGCAGTGTTGTCTGATAACCATGTGCAGTTATTTTTCAAAACGAACGTGGACACACACATAGCCACTTTCAATAATGATATTGCCTATGAATATGAGTAAGCAACTGAAATCTCTTCATGTTTTTTTCTTACTCTCTTGGTCAAGGGGTTAGACTCCAGGTCATCTCTTCTGAGCTCTCCTGAGTTCCTAGCCCCTTTCTTTTGTCAAACCTCAAGGGTTACTGAGGGCCCTTGAGTCTTATAACCACCTGCTTCTGCTTCCCGTTTTCCATTCCCAGTGCTGACCCTGTCCAGTCTATTAAAAGGTAAAAAATACATTCAAGGATGAGAGAATAGAGTGGTAGCTAGAGGGGACTGCAGATTATTAAGAAATTGTTAGTTAAGATTTGGAAAGCTGTAATAAGGACTTTGCCTGATCGGGGAACTTAATGGCTGTTTGGGAAACTTGCCAATTTTGATTTTCACAAGCAGTTTTTCCAAAGGTACTCAGAAGTTTAGGAGTGATTCCTATAGATGTGCAGTGCTCCTTTTCTGCCAAGAGTAGAAGGAAGAGTCAACTGTGTAAATGTTGAAGGAGGTTAAGGTGGACACTGAGTGTCCAGTGAGTCTGGCAGCATGGAAATCTTTGATACTTATTGGAAATAGCTTCTGTTAGTAGAGGCAGAACCTCTACTAGTGTGAACTAAGGACTGAACAGGCGGTAAAGAAATGTACAAACTCTGGCCCTGAAGGGTAGGAGAGAGATATAGGGACATTGTTAGGTTAAGTTTAGGGTCAAGCATGTTTCTTTTAAAATGAAAGAGACTTGAGCATGTTTAAGTGCTAATGGAAAGTACCCAGAAGTGAGGGAGTGACTGAAGATAGGAAGTAGAGACAAGTCCTTGAGAAAGTATAAGGTGAGTCATCACCCAATGAACAGGGATTATCTTTAGTAACAAGTTCCTTCCTTTTATAGTAAAGAAGGTACCAACGTAGGTGAGTTTGCAGATCCTATCAGAAAAAGTGAGCTACCACTGATCTAATGGTTTCTGTTTTCTATGCAGTAAGATGGGAGATCCTCTATGAAGCGTGAGATAGAAAGGAAGGGTAGGTGTAAGAGGTTTTGGTCAAAAAGGCAGGATTTGAAACAATTATTGTAGGAAGTTGAAGAGTAACAGAACAGAGACTTGCTTAAGGGCACTGAGTTATTCTAATTATTCCTCTAATAATTCTCTTTGCAACCAATAGCTCAGGCCTATGTTTATGAAGTATCACAAAATCTGACATTTATCTAATTATTGGAAATTTTTTTTAAAATTTAAGTTCACTGTTCTAATTATTTGACTCAAAATCTTTTCTAGATGCTTTTATCTCTCTAACACACGTTTTAGCTTATTATTTTGTTTAAAATGCTTATCTTAAAGTCAATTTTGTTATTATTTATTTGCCCTTAAGAAATATACAAATTGGATTATGAGAAACTTGCTTTTATTCATTTATGTATCTCCTCACAGTACTAAGCATGGATAATACTTTTAACATAATAGAATTTTCTGTTTTTGTTTTATTATTATTATTTTTTAGATGACATTTCACTCTGTCACCCAGGCTGGAGTGCAATAGCACAATCTTGGTTCACTGCAAACTCTACCTCCTGGGTTCAAGTAATTCTCCTGCCTCAGCCTCCTGAGTAGCTGAGATTATGGGTGACGCACAGCTAATTTTTGTATTTTTAGTAGACACAGGGTTTTGCCATGTTGGCCAGGCTGATCTTGAACTCCTGACCTCAGGTGATCCACCTGCCTTGGCCTCCCAAAGTGCTGGGATTACAGGCATGAGCCACCGTGCCTGGCCTGTTGTTTTACACTTTGAATAGACTTACTCTTTCTGGAAATAATTTTACATCATATCAGCTTTCTCTTTTTCTCATACCTGTAGTTTTCTGGGCCATTCTTGGCTTGCCATGAGGGCTCATGGTGGGATGGAAACACGACATGTTAAAATTTACTTAAAGTTATGATAAGGTTTGGTCATATTCTGTCTTCAATTTATGCTGAGGGCATGGCTTTTGTGTAATATTGTTTTTTCTTTTTTCTGTATTGTTTTTGGAGCAAATACTGGGAGACACAGTTCTGGGTAACCACCATTATCTTTAGCTACTCAAAAACCACCCAGTCATTAACTTTAAACATAACTACATTTGAAAAAATTAAATTTAGTTGAGCAAGTTGTTAAAATTTATGTTTATAATAACATATAAATTTGGTCTACACATTTCTATGTGTAAGAAATAAGAAATTTTAAAACGTCTTATTACTCCAAATGGAACAATTTTACCCACTTCTTCCGTGAGGTCACTGCATCCATGTTATATTGTAGATTGGGCTTTTCACCCATGCTGAAGGCTGTGGGAAAATGTTAGGAGGTGTGTGAGAGCTGGATGTTAATCAGCTGTTCACACATGTGCTTTTGTAAGAAACAGAGTTCCTCCCCCTTAAGACCCAAACAGGTCTAGAAATTGTTGTACAGAAATATTTTATGAAGCTACCACTATGGCTTCCCACAGGACAGTTTGTCAGCGCATATATCATGTTCTTTCTCATTAAGCTATAGTTGCCTCAAATAGTGCCAGGAAGTAAGGAAAAGGCACTCTGTAAGGGCAGGGAGGATGATCAGAAGCCAGAGGGAAAAACACAAAAGTCAGAAAAATATAAATTACTATCTTAAAATATTAGAATATTATCCCAGACTCAGAATCCAATCTGAAATTAATGTCGTTCTGTTTTTATTATATAAAGAGATAATGAATGCCTAGTATACTTTAATTTTCTGATGCAACTTGTTGATTTCTGCTTCACAGCTACCTTAGAAATTGATGAGGACTATCCATTATTTCAGTTCATTTATAGAGTGACGGCCACAGATAAGGACTTCGCAAATGGTGATTGGCTGAATGTAGGTGGTGATCATTGTGCCAGATGCATTTATCACTTCAGCGTAAAGTGCAATCCTTTTAAAAAAGTTTTCAAGGACAGTTAATATAGTTTGATAATTAAAGACTGTATGAAGTTTACAACCACCAGAATGCAATACTCATGTTAATATTGAAAATGGCATTTTTAGAAGAAGCTATTTTCTTGAGGCATACAAGAAAATTACATGACTTCTAATTGAGGCGGAGGACTGGGAGGAAGATGTCAATGCTGAGGCAAAACTGTGGCTTTGCCTTTTGGAAGCTGATCAGAACTATTTCTCTTTCCGAGCTATTTCAATGACACACATGAATGTGATTATATATTTTTTGATGTTTCAGTATCCTAATTACTAAGTATTTAACCCTAAGAGACTTGCTTTTTCTCTTAATTGATTCATGGTTGTAAAGTCTCTTAGAGATTTGGCAAAATGAAAAGAACCTATAAAGTTTGTTTTGGAGACTTTAGCGATGCAATGGACTACAAAAGTCAGCATGCTTGCTCTGCAGCTGTTCTTTTTGAACATGTATTGAAATAGTTTACTACTTCTAATGTAGTAACTCACAGTATAAAGTAATGGAGCACCAAATGGCGGTGGGGTTGTCAGATGACTTGGGCTAAATATGGCTTTACCACCAACTAGTGCTATAATACTGGGGAAGTCGCTTAATCCCCCTTGCGTTTGATTTTCACAATTTTAAGAGATAATTTTTCCTTCCATTAACCTTCAGTGATAGATGTGCCGTTGTCAGTCAAAGTATTCAAAATCCCTGTGGGATACTCCAAAAATATTTTGTTGTGGACCAGCCAATATGAAATTGTTTAGAAACACAAGACCTATCCCATTACATGATGTCTTTTCAATAAATTTTTAAAAATGCTGTGGTCCAGCTGAAAGTAATTATTACCACTTGTGTCATTTTCAGAAACATAATAGGAACCAAACAGGTGATTGTTTTAAAATTCATTGTTTTGAGAAATAGTTCTATTTTTAGAGGCTAGAAATCATATCAGATTACAAAAAAGCACACAGAAGTAATTAAACTTTTCTTCAACGAAATTTTACCTCCTTCCAAACTAAATAGTTTTCAGATACTTTTGAGGCTATACTTACCTACTTTTATCTATTCTAAGAAGTGGCAGCAAGATAAATTATAAGCTGCATTAATATTTGAAATGGTAACACTTGAAATGGGTTTATACCATTATAATTATTTTGTTTCTTAAAAATGATAATGAGTTTATTTTGTATCCTTTTAATGATAGTGATAGTGAGTTTATTCTACACTCTTTTAGCGTTGTATTAATTTGCAGAATTAAATTAATATTAAATACTTAATAAAAATTAAGCCTTTGGCTGGGCACGGTGGCTCATGCCTGTAATCCCAGTACTTTGGGAGGCCAAGGCAGGCGGATCACAAGGTCAGGAGATCGAGACCATCCTGGCTAACACGGTGAAACCGTGTCTCCACTAAAAATACAAAAAATTAGCTGGGCATGGTGGCAGGTGCCTGGAGTTCCAGCTACTTGGGAAGCTGATGCAGGAGAATGGCGTGAACCTGGGAGGCGGAGCTTGCAGTGAGCTGAGATCACACCACTGCACTCCAGCCTGGGCGACAAAGTGAGACTCCGTTAAAAGAAAAAAACAAAAAGCTTTTAACAACTTACCTTAGAAAACTGTAAAGGGTTGTTCAGTTCTATTTAAAAAATAGCAAATATTTTGGTTATGTTCATAGGCTAAACAACCATATTGTTTTTCCTTTATTCTGATAATGTCAGTGGTTCTAATGCTAGTAGATCATAAAGAAAAACTGAAATTAATCAGTGTGAAAATAGATAACTTTCTATATATTTGCCCCAGTATCATGTCTTAATGATCTTCCATGCCTTCTCATTTATTCAGTCTTGAGTAATACATATTTTATTTTTCTAGTACACCATTGAGACACAGTTATCTGGACCAAAGAAAGGAGCAAACTCTTTTGGAGTGGATCCTATAAGTGGTGTTGTTAGTGTAAGAGGTGAAGATCCCCTGGATTTTGATGCTGGATATCATGTAATTAAAATGTGTATTTATTTTTCCATGCAGAATGAAACAGAATTTGTGTCACTTTGAGTTCTTCATGAAAAATTAGACACCTTGTTATTTTAAAGGAAGATTAATATTTTGTGTCATTCATTTGTGAGGATTTCTGCAGTTAACCAAAAGCCTACATTCAATCTTTATGGTTATTGGAAATATAGAGATTATGTCTTAACATTTTAGTTCTACCAAAAAAAGTTTATGAAAAAAACAATTAAGTGTCATTTTAATCCGGGAAAACCAAATCAGTAAATCAGTACAATGTAAATCTTTCTGAACATCAAAGAAATGAAAGAAACTTAAATCAGTCAAGTTTTCATGTTGAAACTATTATGATTCATATACCCTACCCCATTTAGAGTGTTAACTCACTTAAGTAGCCAAGGTAAGGTTGGGCATAAACCTTATAGGTGAATTTGAAACTAACATGGTAAGAAAGAACAGTATATGGTATTTACATGAGAAATATAAGTTAAGGAAAGTATTCAAGAATGATTTTTCTGAGTGGAAAATGAATGATATGTAAGTATGAACAACTGACTGGAAAGAAACCAGCTACTGAAGATATTCTGTCCACATGGAAATGAAGTGGGTAGTTCGATAAATAAAGGTTGGTATTATTGTGATCATAAAATAATGTTTTACAACACTGTAAAAAAATTTCTATTTTCAGAAGTGTCTTCAAATTTACTATTTCTATTGAAATAGTAAATTGAGAAAATAGGTAATTGAGAAAATAGGAAGAAGGGGAAAATGCGAGAGATTAGAGTAAAAATAGAGAATTTGCTGCTGATAAGATAATTTGAGGGAAGAGTTAATAGTTAAAAATCTTAACTTTCTGGCCTGAAAGAACATAAGAAAGTCAATGAATTCTATTTAAATTTCAATTTGATGTGTTGTATGTCAGAGGATGGTGGAGAGGCCAATGATACATACCTTTTAAGCAGCTTGAGTATTAGGACTACAATATGAGATAGGTTAGATGGAAGATAAATGGACATCATGCATATAAACCGTTCAGCTCCACATCTCTGATTCTTTCTGGGCCTCTTCACTTCCTGCCTTGACCAACATTCAACCTATCTCCTACTAAGTCCTTTAAGATCACTTTCATCTTTCCACTGCATAACTCATCGATTCATTATATGACATCTGACATGTAATTACCTATCCAAGGGACTGAAGTTTGGTACAATCACTGTCAGCCCTTTCCTCAGCATGGAGTCTTATACACTGTAGAGTTTTATTGAATATCTGCTCAAAAAGGGTTTTTAGTGGATACTTACTGCCTCAGTGGTGTTTGGTTTTTGTTTTTGTTTTCAAAAGGGCATTTCCTGATATGAATAAATGGTTTCTAAGGGGTGAGATGGGTGACAGGCTGAGGAGAAGAATATTCAATGTTTGATGACATTCTCAACTGTTCAGAAATTCCTTGTGTCATAGATCCCAAAGAGTAGCCCATCTTCCTATTTCTGGGGTTTAGCATCAAACAGCTTGCTTTGTCAATAGTTTCAGTGCACTGGATGAGGCATATAACCAAGCTACACAGACTTTTGAGTGAAATTTAATGGCATATGAAATGAAGCAACTTATAATGAATCTAAGAAAGATAAGTAAATGCAAGTAAGAAATCGCTTGTATTTCTTTTAGCTAATGAGAAGAAAAATAAGAATCTAGTTGGAGAAAACAAAACAAAAACCTAACAGGATGCATATTGTGAAACTATATATGTATTACAAAGTAGCATTTTGTAAAGTTTTAAAAAACTCTTTTCCAGGTTTTCCACCTTGTACTGAAAGCAACAGATACAACAGGTCTTTTCTGTCAAGGAACACTAATTATCTTGATTGAAACATAAATGATGAGAAGCCTCAATTTGAGTAAGCATATTTATTTCAAGGTATATATATAGGAGAATGGTTAAAATAAACTTTTCACATATACAGTCGGCCCTTGGTGTCTGTGGGGCATGCATTCCAGGACTCCCCTGAATACCAAAAGCTATGGATGCTCAAGAATCTTTTATAATGTTGTATTATTTTCTTTTTCTTTTCTTTCTTTTTTTTTTTTTTTAAGACAGTCTCACTCTGTCACCCAGGCTGGAGTGCAGTGACGCAATCTTGGCTTACTGCAACCTCCACCTCCTGGGTTTAAGCAATTGCCTCAGCCTCCTGAGTGGAGTAGCTGGGACTACAGGTGTGCGCCACCACGCCCAGCTAATTTTTGTATTTTTAGTAGAGCTGGGGTTTCACCATGTTGGCCAGGCTGGTCTTGAACTCCTGACCTCAAATGATCCAATCCACCCACCTCGGCCTCCCAAAGTGCTGGGATTATAGGTGTGAGACACCATGCTGGTAGTTTTATTTTCATATAACCTATGCACATCCTCTTGTATACTTTAAATCATCTCTAGATTACTTATAATACCTAATATAGTATAAATGCTGTGTAAGTAGTTGTTATACCGTATTTAGGGAATATTTTTGTCCCCATGGTTGGTTAAATCTATGAATATAAAACCCATGGATACCAAGGACGACCGTGTTATAAATAATGATAATAAAGATTATGTAGCTACACAAATTTTTTTTGATGTTGTTAAAACATATGACTATGTATCAATGATTAAGGTATACACTGATAATAAGTAAAATATGTATTAGAAAATACTGGAAAGCAAATTTAGAAGTTACCAACATTGTAATATGGTAAAAGATCTTGGTGTATCTTCTTTTCCTTTCCTGAAGATTATTGACAGTTGCTATGTTGCTTTTTAATAATTACATTAATTTTAAATAAAAAGAAAGGTAGACCTTAAGCTTACAGCCTTTAATTTAAAATATTTTACTTTCATACTCTGGAAGCATAGTTGTAGCATTCAAAACTGTTTGCAGATAATGAACGCAATGAATATTAGATGTTTTTCTATACTTCAAAATGTAGTAATGAAATGTATTACTGCAATCTAAGAGGAATCAAATACTTCTTAGATTATGAAAGGGAAAAAGAAAAATAGTTTTCAAGTTACTTTCCTTATATCACTAAGTTATATCTCTACAGATGACTAAGGAGAATAATTCATTGTTTGATTCCCCAACTTATTTAAGTTATATTATCTGAACAACTTAAGGTAATTTGGAGCTTAGTTTATCCTTTATTTGTGTGAATCACTTTCCTGACTGTGTTTGTAGTAGAGTCACCATCAACTTTTTAGAAAAATTTTCTGCTGCCTTCATGTCTTCAATAAGCATGAACTTACTGATTTTACTTTTTAGTAGAATTTAATGTTAGATATTATAAACAATACAAAAATTATCAAAATGCTGCCCTCAACTACCTTTTTCCATCTCTCAAGTGAAATTGCATGTTAAGTAACAATTAATGAAGAGAAATATTTAATGTGGTCCAGAATATAAATATTATAATTTACATTATATTGTGGCACAAACGAGAAAACACTCTGTAGAGAAGAAACCACATTAGATTACTGCGATCAAGAAGGTTGCTCAAGGGATGGCATCACTCACTTTTCCTTTGAAATTACATTCCTTTGAGGACTTCCTTGAACCTCTCTTCTATCCCCAGAATTAGTTTTCTCTCTTTTTTAAGTTTGCAGCAAATTGACAGCATCTATTACCTAGTAATATAGCTGTTTATCCTTGTGTTTCCCGTTAGCAGTGAGATCTGAACAAGGGCTAACACTTAGTCATATGTGCATTAACTGGAGTGACACATGGTAGGTTATCAATAAATGTCTGATGCCTGAATGAAAGGCTGAATAAGAACTAAATGTAACTTTCAGAAATGTTTTGGAAATTGATCAAGGACTTTTACATACAACTTGAAGAGGTTAAGCAATATATTTACAAGAACTTTCTGGAAACTTGCCCTAGTAGGTGGTGACTTTGGACAGAATTTCATCATATCAGATAACAAGATGCAAACGAATATATTTAGTCCTTTATGTTCAGTTGCCAATTATTCCATGCATTGAATATCTGGAATAATGGAGGTGCCCTGTTCCAATTGTTTTTCATTTTCCATCTCTTTTATGCCATGTCTTTGACGTGCATAGTGCTAGAGACTATATGATTAAAAAATAATGCTTTTGCAAAAAGCTAAATAACTTTGTGCCACAAATGGATTTGTTCAACATTTGAATAGCTTTGGGACTTGTTAAATTCTTGACAAGAGAAAGGTGATATGATAAATCCAAAAGATTATTTCCAGGTTATCGTAACTTGGCAATTATGTGTGTAAGAATTCTCAAATTTGCATCCTCAAAATTTTTTATTGCCATTTTTTCTTAAGGCCATTTCCTTTGGATTCTATTAATGTGACTGAGAAGAAATGTGTTGGAGAAATTATAGCAAGAGTAAAAGCAACAGATCGAGATGAAGATAGCAGTATCATTTATTCCTTTAAGACTCAGCAGAAAATGTTTGGTTTGGACCCCTGTAAGTTTTAAATAAATACTTTTAGCCTATGTTGGCTAAACATTCACTATCTAATCTCTACAATTCCATTAGATCTTAGGCTGGTAAAACTGCCCTTTCAAAATTAAATTAAATATGAAGAATAAAACATTCCCCAAACATGTGGTATTTGACAGTTGCTGTTTTCCTGTTTCTGAAAATGACATTCTTGTGAAATAATGGGTGATGTAATACCTTGCTTTTATAACTGGCTATCATTTTTCAGAGGCACTCAATACAAATGCTCTGTGCATCCGTATAAATTATAGGATGAAATGTCATGTCTATCTTTTCAATTTGATTTGAGAAAATTGGGACTTTTCCAGAATGCCTAAGTTTTGGATATTTGTTAGGAACAGATTTCTGCCTGTGTGAATAGGATTGCTGTTCTGAAATATTTCTATCTTATGGGTTGTCACACTAGCTGGTTTTATCAATCAGGGTACAACCAGAGAAAAATAACCACTAAGAGTACACTGTAGGCTGGGCACAGTGGCTCATGCCTGTCATCCCAGCATTTTGGTAGGCCGAGCGGGTGGATCACGAGGTCAAGAAATTTGAGACCATCCTGGCCAACATGATGAAACTCCGTCTGTACTAAAAACACAAAAATTAGCTGGGCATGGTGGTGGGCGCCTGTAGTCCCAGCTACTCTCAGGAGGCTGAGACAGGAGAATCACTTGAACCCGGAAGGTGGAGGTTGCAGTGAGCCAAGATTGCGCCACTGCACTCCAGCCTGGGTGACAGAATGAAACTTCATGTCATAGAAAAAAGAAGAAAAAAAAAAAAAGTACACTGTAGCAGTGAGTTAAGTAGTCTCTGTAAGACTTTGTGTCTGATGCTGAAGCTTTCACCCCTCAAGCAGGAAGTAAGGAAGAGAAGATGCATACAAAGTTGGGAAGGTTAAGGGTAGTCTGGAACACACAAGCATGTGCTGGGCCCCATAAGAATGAATTGAAACCCATGTTAGTTCTTTGTGCTTCTGACCTTGCTTGTGTGGGTGTTCTGAAGAAACTGAGCCTTTCATCACAGGGCTGAGTATACAGACCTGTTCTAGGAGTCAGGGAAGCTGAAAGAAGATCCAGCAGTAGGTCAAGCAGTTTCAGATTTAGCTGAAGCTAGTTCACACCAACAATAACACAGCAGATCAACAAAAATATGCATAACAAACAAAATGGCTGCTGCTACCCTTCTACCCTCCAAGTTGGCCAAGAATTTCCCTGTGTCTCACCAAACTGACACACACACACAAAATAGAATTCTGAGAAATACAGTTTGGCTTAGCAAATGTGGCACATTACAAAGCCATCATACTAATCATTCAATATTTAAGATAATTTATTTGAATCCTGAAAGTTGTTGGCAACTTATGCATTTAACTTCAAGATCCAAATACCAGTGGGAGAAGAAGTCCATTATTAAATAATGATGTACTAGCTAGAGAAAATTTAGAAGAGATTCCATAAGGCCTTGTGGAAATTATGAAGATATTCAGGATAGGGTCAAGGTAGAAGATTTTTGAACAAGAAAGAAGAAATTCTGGGAGGGAAGATAGGTGATGGTACCAGAAATAAAGAGTCACTTCTGTTGCTGCCATTTTTTTTTTTATAAGTTTGACGTTTGAGCTCATTTTTCATTTTTGTACACAATAAAATTGAGTTAAGATAGAAGGCAGAAGCAATGAATGATTAAGATTTTAATATGGTTTGACGAATTTTTCAGGCTCAAAAACATCATTTATTGTTGTAAATAAAGTAAAATATTCTGGTTTGTGTTTGATATTTTTTAAGTAGGAATGCTATCTATGCTTAGTAAATGAATGATAATTTAGAAACTTGAAGAAAAATATGATGCAACCATTTTTAATATTTAATTATATTTACAATGTAAACATAAACAGAAGCTTTTTTTTATTGTATTTTATTTTTTGAGACAGAATCTCGCTCTGTCACTCAGGCTGGAGTGCAGTGGTGCAATCTTGGCTCACTACAACCTCCGCCTCCCAGTTTAAGCAATTCTCTTGCCTCAGTCTCCCAAGTAACTGGGACTACAGTCATGTGCCACCATGCCCTGCTAATTTTTGTATTTTTAGTAGAGATGGGTTTCACCATGCTGGTCAGGCTGGTCTTGAACTCCTGACCTCATGATCTGCCCGCCTTAGCCTCCCAAGGTGCTGGGATTACAGGTGTGAGCCACCTCACCCAACAGAAGCTTTTAAGAAAGTATTTCCAATGGACGTAGAATTGCTAAATATTGCTTTTCTCGTGTATGAAAGAAGTATACTGTTAAGTGAATTAAAACATCATTAATATAAATAAGTTAACATAGACTTAATTATCAAGTTTGGTCATTTTTCTTCATTTTATTTACTTTTTATTAGCCACAGGAACAATCACTCTTCTTCAGCCTTTGAATCTTGACAACCCAAGTAACTCCAAAATCTACTCTTTGGAAATTGAGGCAACAGATAATGGGAATAATACCAGCAGCTATATGTTTACAGTTTTTGTGGAGAATGTAGATGATCCTATTTCCTGTGATCCAAGTTTTTCTACAGGAACAGGTATAATACAAGTCAATTTTATTGATAAAATTCATGAGACAATAATAAAATTTAAAAATATAACTTGGAATTATAGTTTAAGCTTTCTAGTTTTATAAATGGGAAGTAAATAAAAGCAAAGTGAGAGACATAGCATGTTCCTACAAAGAAAAAAAAATAAAGTTACTATAATTCAAATTTGAATTCAAATTATCATTTCTGTGTGTGGTAGATAGGGATAGGAGTAATGACAAAATTATTCTGAGTGTATCTGTAACATATGGATTGATATGTAGGCTCACAATTTATCAAACATAAAAATCTAAACAGTAAAATATAATTTTCACCTCCTAAATTGGCCAAAATATGAAAATAATAGGAAAAAATTCAGCATTGGCTAGGATATACAGAAATTATCACTTTCATAAAGTGGGATTTTAGAATAACCACCTAGAATACTATTTCATAAACAGTTATTTTAAAAATGATTATAATCTGTAGATGAGTATTTCTCCCTGAATTCTTCTTTAGAGACATATTGGAGATATAATCAAGATTTATGTTCAAAGTTTGTAATAGTATAAGGTTTGAAATAACCAAAATGTCTAAGAATAAGAAATTGATTAAAAGAAACTATGTCCATTTGATGAATTGCTATCTAACCATTAAAGATTATCTTCAAAAAATAATAAGCATGAAATGATACATGATAACAAACTATAAACGCATTTCCTTTAATTTGGTGTATATAATAATGTATATACCACATATAAATAATTATAAACATATATACCATTTGTATATAATCATTTATTTTTGTATGATTATAATAAATTATTCTTTTCCAAGATTTTAGTAAACATGCTCCACTATTAATTTTTAATGTTTCTTAAATTAAAAATTCTACGTGTATTTATAAAATTTCAGCCTCTTAAGTGTCATCATTACTCCTAGTAGTATGTAGTTATTTCATCTGCTATACTTGCCTCCAAAAATACTTGCTTAAAATAAGTTTTCAGTTGTACAAACTATAATAGATTTAAAGTAATATATAGAGGTAGCTTTCAGTATGATTACAATAGACATAGTCCTGAAAAGTTTGATAAATTAAGTGTTTGTAAATCAAATTTTATTCTTTTACTTACCTCATAAAAGAAAGCATGCATCATCTATTGGAATCAGCGTGTCTTTGTGTATAAAATGATAAAATATACTATTATACTTTGTGTCAAACCAATCATAACCTCATATACTGTTCCCTAACCTCACTCTTACGTGTATTTGTGTTTTTCATGAGGACCTAAAAACACAATCTTTAAAACATTTGAATATATTTGAGGCCTTGCACATGATTGGATCTCAGAAAACATAGATTGGCTTGATTTAATTTTGGCTGGTTCCACTGGATCTCAACAATTATATCTGCTCTATTAGTTAGTCTTTTCATTTTTTTCTCTCCGTTTATTTCTAACTTTATTTGCTCATCTACCATAAAGACTTTACTCCTTCTACCTTCTTTGTTTTACTGCTTTTCCTTCTGTATTTCTATTAAAAGAAACTACCCAACTAATTGGGAGGCAATAAGACAAAAAAGAAGTTGAGGGCAAGTGGAACAAGGCAAACTTCATTAAAATAGTCTCTTTTTTGTTTTGTTTTTCCTGGATGCCCATTCATTGCTGCTCTATCTATGTCTTACCACCAGAATTATCTCTTCTCAATCTTCAGAAACATCATCTTTTTGGAAACCCAAAAGTTCCAAAACGCACAGCACACAGATTTCTTACTTTGAATCAGAACATATCTTCTGATATACATAATATTAAACTTATCTAAAAATAGAAGTTTATATTAAAGAAATTTGTTCACAGAAAATAAATTTAACCAAGAAAAGTCTCCTAGGTGAGCCTTGGCAATGTACCAATGAATGGGTTTGGTGTTTGTGAAGATATGATCTTTTGGACCACTTTGAAACAATTTAGTTGATGTTCTTTGTAATTTCCTTTCAGTCTTCCAAAATTATAGTAAACTTTAAAAAGATACACATGGATCTCAAGAAGGTCATTTTGACCCGATTTCTACCACAAGTTTGGCTAAACCAGCATAAACTGCTAGGGAAGCATCAAGATCGGGATGTCTTTCTCTTCCATCATCTGGGCTGTGGGTCTTGGGACATAAGAGAAGAGAGGACAAGAAGTCACTTTCTGTTTAAAGTAGGGCAACTCTGTGGGTCTCTGTGACCAACAATTACCAAAGAAAAGACATTGCCATGATTTTCAAGCTGCTGATTTGGCACACACATATTCAAATCATTTACTGGGTTTAATTATCCAGTTGCTATAATTAACCAGAACAAATCACTAAATTAGAGAATCTGCCTACATGTGTTCAGTTTGAAACAAAGGTTCAAAATAAGCAACTCCTAATCACACCAATCTTTTCTAAGGATATTATTCTATAATATCCTTAGAAAGTCAAACAATATGAGACCTTTACAGGACTACCCAGACTAGATTGTGATACAGTATTCACTGGATTTGGTATCCAAGATTCAGCTGCACAGTAAACAGTAAGCCTTTTTTCTTTTAAAAGAAGTATTTGTAGAATCACGTAACAGGTAAAGAAACTCTCAGTAGTCTAAATGTGCATTTATGTTATTTGATTTTGGGATTACACAGAATCATGGTAACATTGGAAGGAGGATGAGGAGCTGTGGTTGGAAAAAGGCAAGTAGCATTTGTTGAGCATTTGCGAGATGTGTTATGTATAGTATTTTAATCTCCAGAACTACTCTAAGATTGGAGATGTACTTTATCCCCATTGTACAGGTGAGAATAGTGATGGAGCAGGAATTCAAGCGCATTTCTTCTTGTCTTCACAGGCTGTGCTCTATTTTTTTGTACATGATTGTGAAAGGAGACAAAAAGCTTCAATATCCTAATATAAAATAGTAAAAGTAGAAATCGTATCTTAGTGACCATTGACTTTGAGCAATTATATCCCATTCCATATAGTAGCCCAAAGTTCAAATGCAGGAATATGAACCTGAACTATGATGGCTCTTTTAAATGTTGATGTTAATGGGAGTAAGTATTTGTAGGGGTTTTTTTTTCTCTGAAACAAATATGAAGAAGACCGTTTTAAGGAAAATACAGCATGGTAATTTATGGTACCATCATGAAGCAAGAAGTGAAAGAAAGACATTTGAATTTAAATTATTGTTTATGATTGTGTAATTGTATAGGTGTTTCAGTGTCTGTTCCTGAAAATATTCCTGCATCTACTTTTATATATATGATTCTTTCAAGAGATCCACATCTAGGACAGGAAGTTGAAGTAAGTTTTTTTTTTTTAATTTTCATCTATTTATTTTTGCCCAACTTGGATGAAAAAAAAAAAAACCAAAAGAGTGCTCAATTTTTAATGTACAAAATATTATCTTGCCAGGCTGTTAATTAAAGTGTTCTTCATATGTATGGTAGTCACTGAAGTGAGAGAGGAGACTTAAACCTTTCGATGTAGTAACATAGAATTAAAATGCTCTGGCTTTAAAATGAAAGCAACAGATATCAAATGGTCTGAAAGCATTGTGAAAAACTAGAGCTTACATCTATTGGCATTTATCTGATGACATTTACGAGCATAAATAGAATGTTCTTTCATTGTTCATTGCCTTTTATTCATCCCAATCAGGCATATTTTCTTTACTATACATACAATGTGAGTAAAGGATATTTTAGGTCTTCATATTAATTCTAGTTTTAGCAATAATTCATAAAGAGGAGAGAATAAATTTTAGATGATAAAATGGTTACAGCTTAAGTGGGAGTAAAGAAGAAATTTAAGGTTATTCATCACTGTATACTGTCTCAGAAATATTTCTGGTATACATATGACCGATAATCTAATTATATTTGTAAGAAAAAAATTGTTTATTGATGGTGCAATATATAATAAATCTGATTAATATACTGCAATACTCTGCCCTAAATTTAGTGAGTCAAATTCTCCATAGAAGAGACTAACTTTTTTTCTGTTTGTTCATGCTTGCTATAGTGATACACTTACAAATATCACTTGGGAATATGGTTGAAACTAAAAAGTTTGGGAGAAAGCTCTGTGGAGAATTTAGTCTATATATAATTTTTCTGGTTACCTGATTATAATGAGATATTGATTAATACACTTGATTACATTTTTTGCTCATGTGAATTTCAGACTGAGGACAGACGACAACACAGGAACAATGTAATTCCTGGTATACCAGGCTCAGCTCATCTATTTGTGTGAATGTGTTAGTGTGTGTGTTGGGAGGATAGAGTCAGAATATTGGGGTATGTGGATGTGTGCATTTAAACTAGAATATGTCCATATGTGTGGTGGATGGGTGTCTACAATAGTATCAGTTATATTTATGTGTCTACGTGCATAGCTTCCATTACCAAAAATTAATGTAATATCTGGATTTTATTGTAAAAGTCATTAGGAAAGAGAAAACAAAAATTTGGAAAATGATGATTAACCATAATGTGAAAAACAAAGAGATTATTTTCATAAGGATATTTAAGAGGATTTTAGTCTAATATAAGCCAACTTTGGTTGTTCGCTTACAGGCAAATGAAAGATGGTTAATATGACCATCAAAATGGCTATTATGCATTTTTTGGAAATGGCATTGGGTATCAGATCTCCCAGGTTTTATTGGGGTTTTTTTATGGGCTGGAATCTGGATGTAAGTGTTTACAGTATAATTTCTTTATGAAATCCTTTTCAAAATCTTTAATATTTGTTTTGATAACAATGGAGAGAAACATGCCGATGCCCATAAAAGTAATAGCTTTGTGCAAGGCAATATTTTATTTTTGCCATACAGAAAATCAATTCAGAGATGAAATCAAATGGCTTTTTCCAAATAATTTGGTGCCTCCTTTAGATATACTTCCTCCTTTAGATATACTTCCTCCTTTAGATATCCTCTTTTAGATATATTCAAGAGGGAACAGCTTTTTTTTTATATTGGAAAAATCTATAAATGCAACACTTGAAAGTAAACTATGAAATTATTGAAAACTATTCACCAAAAATGCTCTAATATTTTAGTATAAAATGCATTGGAAAAAAATACAACTAAAATGTGAAAGAATATGTAGATTATTTTTGAAGTCTGGAACTGAAAGTGAGTTCAGATTTTAATTTATAGGCACGGTCTTCACAAAATTTATTTTGGTTTACACCTTGCCAAATCATTTCATCAAAGCTGTCAGTTCAGGATTCATGCTTAATAATGTATTAACTATGTTTGTGTGTGTTGCAGTTTTTAATATTAAATTTTTCAGTTAATGCCACTGCCTACTTTGCTTTGGATTCACGTAATGGTGTCATTTCTAAAACCATTGAACCTCTTTTGGACTATGAAACAAATCCTAAGGTGAGACTAAATATAAAACAATGAATACCTTTAAATACCCTTCAATAAAATAATTTTTAAAAACTTATCTAAGTTGAAATAAAAAGTTTTCAAATTTATATAATTGCATTTTCATAGTCACCCAGATCAAGCAGAAATTCATTTTAAAAGAAAATAAATTTAGGCGCTTATGTGATTCATTATATGTACTTTTTCATTAGACCTTAGTTAAATATCATTTCAATCGTTGTGTGTGTTTCTGTGGGTGTGTATAAAAGTTGGAGAAGGGATTGTCTCCATATTCAACAGCATGGAACAGAGGCAATGTTCTGGGTAATTAACTAAAAGTACACTTCTTTAGTCTTGAATTATCTGAAAAAGTGCCTTTCTCTTTGGCTTTATGTGATTGTGGAGACCTGGTGTGGCCTTTTTTCCCTGCAATGTCCTGATCAAATTTGAAATTTGCGAATAATTGGAAAGAAGATTGAGGTATAAGGAGAAGAAAACACGTAACATATCATTTTTTCCTACCAAATCATCCTGGAAAATGAGACCATTTAAATGTCAAATGTTTTCCAGTTTCTTTAAGCAATTCTGGACATTTCCAGTAGTAGACTTATCAGGCTATTGTTGTTGTTGTGTTTATTTGTTTGTTTGTTTAACATCATCTTAACTAAAACATGACTTTCTAAACTGCAAATATTTTGACCAGAACTTATCTCACTATGTGAGAGTTAAAGAAATAAAAGAAAGAAAACAGCTATTTTTCCACGATATTTGGCTAGTTGCTTGTAAGAATACTTTTCACTCTGGTGTTATAGGATCGTTTCTCCTATAGTCAATTTTGTTGTTTTCCATTCACTCCTAAACAAATTGCCTTTTTTCTTTTTGTTTCTTTGTTCTCTCATACAAAGTTCAGGATTAACTTTATTTAGAAGGTGCATATTGACATTTTGATTTTATTTTTATTTTTCTGTATTTATTTTGTTGTTGCCCAGGCTGGAGTGCAATGGGGCAATCTCTGCTTACTGCAACCTCCGCCCCCCAGGTTCAAGTGATTCTCCTGCCTCAGCCTCCTGAGTTAGTGGGACTATGGGCACCTGCCGTCAGGCATGGCTAATTTTGTAGTGACAGGGTTTCGCCATGTTGGTCAGACTGGTCTCGCACTCCTAACCACAGGTGATCCACCCACCTCAGCCTCCCAAAGTGCTGTGATTACAGGTGTGAGCCACCGTGCCCAGCCAACATTTTGATTTTAATTGTACTTAATTCATAAATTATACTAGAGAGAACTGACATTTTTATCATCATAAACCTAGCAAATTCATGTATTTATTAAACACTTATTTGAATCCTTCAATAAGATTTTGTATTTTCTCTATAAAGTTCTTACACATCATATGTTTAACATTCCTTGAGTTTTATTGCAAATTCTTGTTTTCTAGTTGTTATTTGTGGTTTTATAGAAAACTATTGATCTTGTATCTTACTCATAAAAACAGCAAACTTGCTAAAATTTTACATTGATTCTAATAATTTTGAAGTGATCTTTTATTTTTCTGTGTTAACATTCATAAAATATCTGTGGAAAATTGCAGTTGTTCCTTTCTCTCTAATCTTTATAAAATTTTATTTATATTATCTATCTTATTTTTCTGATGAGGACTTCCAGAACAACGTTTCTTAGAAATGGTAATAGCAGGCATCTTTATCTTGTCATGATTTTAAAAGACATTGTTTAATTGTTTCAAACAACAGTGATTTTTACAGTAGCATTTTGGTGGGTAATCTTCCTTAAGTAAAGAAATTCTTTTTTTATTCCTAGTTTGTTTAGAGGTTTTATCAGAAATTCGATGTTGACTTTTATAATTTTTCTTCAACTACTCAGATGATTATATTGCTTATTTTCCCTTAATTTTTCAATGTTTTGAGATACTTTAATACTTTTTTTATTTTTATAGCATCCTTATGTTCTGACCTGTAACCAATCCCATATGAGATAGTCTTCAATATATAATGCTGAATTCAATTTACCAATCATTTAATTTTGATATTTGAGTCCTGATTTTTTACCTCTTCTCTGACTAAAGTTCATGGTGCTTTTTTTAAACTTATTTATTTCTTTGCTCCCCACCCATGAAGTCACCTTTAGAAGGTATACAAAATCTATTTGGACAGTTGAGAAATTGTCTGCTGGGCCTCAATAGGGCATCACTGGCCTCAGCAAGCTTACATGTTAATTTCATGCCTTGACAATTCTCACACCAAATATGTATGTATTGGTAGTATAATTAGTATAATCTTGATTACGAATTTCTTTCTGAACCCACGTGTGTGTGTGTCCGTCATATAATTTTATTTCAGTGGTATCCTAGAAGGATTGTGGCAAATTGTTTTACACTTACAACAACCTCTTCTAAAAGCAAACAAAAGCAAATGTTCACTGGTAAAATTTCACCGTTTTTTTTTTTTTTTTTGGTTTACATGTCAGTCTTCCCCACTGAAATGTGACTTCACCCATGGTAAGATTATTTATAATTCAGATCTTTTCTCTACTATTCTGCACAGTGCATCAGTAGTGGCCAAGAAGTATTTCTTGAATAAAAGCATGAACTCTAGCTACCAATTTTAAGTGCTTTGTAAAATGTAAAACACCAAGAAACAATAAATTCATTGGTTCAAAAACTTTGTATTTAATACCTTCTGTATGCAAAATGCTGTGTTTATACTCTTATCCCAACTACTACGCCACCACACACTTCATTTTTCTCCCATACTTTTTTCAAAACAAGCAATTTATACATTTTTCTCCTACTATTTTACTGAACAAATAGTTAATACATTTTTTTTTCTGGACAACACTTTAATTAAATGGTAATATGTTGTTGATTGTGCCAGATTTTAGTTAAATATTCCTTGTGATCTTCAGACTTTTTTTCAGCTATTTAAAATATACGCAAAAGGTCGGCAAAGCCTGAGTCCTGTGCAGGCGCCGGGGGCTCTGGTTCCTGGATCTCCGTGTACCGCTCCACCAGCTTCCGGGGCGGCATGGGGTCCGGGGGCCTGGCCTCAGGGATGGCCGGGGGTCTGGCAGGAATGGGAGGCATCCAGAACGAGAAGGAGACCATGCAAAGCCTGAACGACCGCCTGGCCTCTTACCTGGACAGAGTGAGGAGCCTGGAGACCGAGAACTGGAGGCTGGAGAGCAAAATCCGGGAGCACTTGGAGAAGAAGGGACCCCAGGTCAGAGACTGGAGCCATTACTTTAAGATCATCGAGGACCTGAGGGCTCAGATCTTCGCAAATACTGTGGACAATGCCCGCATCGTTCTGCAGATTGACAATGCCCCTCTTGCTGCTGATGACTTTAGAGTCAAGTATGAGACCGAGCTGGCCATGCGCCAGTCTGTGGAGAACGACATCCATGGGCTCTGCACGGTCATTGATGACACCAATGTCACTCGACTGCAGCTAGAGACAGATCGAGGCTCTCAAGGAGGAGCTGCTCTTCATGAAGAAGAACCATGAGGAGGAAGTAAAAGGCCTACAAGCCCAGATTGCCAGCTCTGGGTTGACCGTGGAGGTAGATGCCCCCAAATCTCAGGACCTCGCCAAGCTCATGGCAGACATCCGGGCCCAATATGACGAGCTGGCTCGGAAGAACCGAGAGGAGCTAGACAAGTACTGGTCTCAGCAGATTGAGGAGAGCACCACAGTGGTCACCACACAGTCTGCGGAGGTTGGAGCTCTGAGACGACGCTCACAGAGCTGAGACGTACAGTCCAGTCATTGGAGATCGACCTGGACTCCATGAGAAATCTGAAGGCCAGCTTGGAGAACAGCCTGAGGGAGGTGGAGGCCCGCTATGCCCTACAGATGGAGCAGCTCAATGGGATCCTGCTGCACCTGGAGTCAGAGCTGGCACAGACCCGGGCAGAGGGCCAGCGACAGGCCCAGGAGTATGAGGCCCTGCTGAACATCAAGGTCAAGCTGGAAGCTGAGATCGCCACCTACCGCCGCCTGCTGGAAGATGGCGAGGAATTCAATCTTGGTGATGCCTTGGACAGCAACAACTCCATGCAAACCATCCAAAAGACCACCATCCGCCGGATAGTGGATGGCAAAGTGGTGTCTGAGACCAAGGACACCAAAGTTCTGAGGCATTAAGCCAGCAGAAGCAGGATACCCTTTGGGGAGCAGGAGGCCAATAAAAAGTTCAGAGTTAAAAAATAAATAAATAAAAGAAAATAAAATAAAATATACGCAAAATAGAAGTTTCAATAATGTATAATCTCATAGGATTAAATATAATTTGGAGTTATTTTTCTTTATAAATATGATCTGCTTATTGGCCATAGAATTACATTTAATAAAACAAAATTAAAATCATTATTTGACTTCATCACACTTATTCGTGATTACCTTGTTAGACCACATTTCTTCATTATTTGAGGCATTGTCATATCATCTCTTCAAATGAAGCGTTAGATTTTTTAAGGGTTCTAAGGTATTTGTGTTCTTTCTAATTTTTCCAAAAGTAAGATAGTTCTTTAGTTGCACGGATTAGTTTTTCCTAAACAATAAAACTTACTCTTTTATTTTGGTACTTCTACAAATTTAAATCTGATATGTATGCCCAAACCGAACATTGGAAAATATGATCTAAGTTACATGAAAATTGGAAGCATAATTGCAGAAATCTGTACAAAGGTACAAAAGATACTCTTTTTGACAAATGGCCTTATAGTGTTTGGGGAGTGGGTCTACATTCTTATGCTTCCAATTTTCTAAAGTGTTTTTCAATTTTATTTTTAAAGTATTTTTTATGTAAAGGGAAATTAATTGCTTTTTTTTTTTTTTTTTTTGAGATGGAGTTTCACTCTTTATTGCCCAGGTTGGAGTGCAGTGGCGTGATCTCAGCTCACTGCAACTTCTGCCTCCCAGATTCAAGTGATTCTCCTGTCTCAACCTCCTGAGGAGCTGGGACTACAGTCACCCGCAACCACACCTGGCTAATTTTTGTATTTTTAGTAGAGATGGGGTTTCACCATGTTGGCCATTCTGTTCTCGAACTCCTGACCCCCGGTGATCTGCCCGCCTCAGCTTCCCAAAGTGTTGGGATTACAGGCATGAGCCACTGCACCCGGCCAAAACTGCATATTTTAAGCACTTTATAAAAACCCACATTCTATCTTCTCTTATTTATTTTAGCATTTCCATTTAGTGATTGCTGTGAGAAATAGGGAAAACCAGTCTTTGGAGTTATGCATTGGCACCATCAGTATCAACGTCCAGCATGTCAATGATGAGAGTCCTGTTCTTGTGTAAGCAATGAGTAATCTAAATATTTAATTGATAAGATTAAGCCACAGAAATTTTTCTTATAGCAGGATAAAGACCAGTGTTTGGCTATTGTTTCCACTGTTAATTTTTTTTTAAATGTTTTAAATGATCTAGAAAGTAAACCTCGATGAGTTGTATTTTATTGTTCTTTTTACATGCACTGGAAGCCAAGTCATTGATATTTTGCTCCTGAAACTACAGAAGAGAATCAGTATTTTTTTGGTGGAATAATCCAAAGCTTCATATTTTTCTGGTATTTATTTTTAATAATAAAAATATTATAGAAAATGTACATTGATATGTTCATATTGCAAAGTCAATGTAGGTATTCAAGAGAATTTGTGTAATAAGCACTTGCTGATATGGACATATGCCCAAACACAAAGATAATGAAAATCATTGCAAAAACATTTGTAGTATTTTGTAATCTGGAATAAAGTACAATTTACCAATCAGTAGAAGGACTTGAAAAATGATACAGGTAAAAGAAACTTTTAGGTTCTTTTCATAAAATGTAAACATTCTCTAATAGATTTAATAATGTAAAATGAAAAAACATTAAGAAGGCCAGACCTGAAACTGTTACATGATATATATTATATGAAATTTAAAATATTTGCTGTGTAACATAGATGAAGAGACATTTGTTTATAGTGATTGATAAAAAACATCATTTGGTCCCACAGATCTGTACCAGATGCACCTATAAATATTTATGAAAATCTCTCTGTTGGAACAAAGCTGGTCACGTTGACAGCGACTGATCGAGACATAGGGGACTCAGTACATTATGAGCTTATAGGGACACAAAAAGAATTTTCTATAAATGAAGGTAAATCATAATTTTATGGAGAATGATTTTATAAAATATATTAAACAGTGTTTTTTAACTAGTGAAAAATAAACCTGCTTATCATTATATTAAGATGAAACAATCTTTAAAATATTTACCAGCATATTTAGCATATTTTCATGAGGTAGAAATGATTATTTCTTCCTTCTCAGAAGTATGGAAATGGTTGGTATAATCTGGCTGCTACAAGAAGCTCCCAAACAATTCAAACTCACAATAGCATTCCCTGGGATTTTATTGTGTGATTATTTGTTTTCTTGAGGACTAAGTTTTCCTATGGAAACCAGAGCAGTCGTAAACATAAAATGAATATTTATTATATATCATATATATAATAACTTTGCATACATAATAACCCCTTTGGGTTTTTACTTTCCTAATTCTCACATAACATGATGCCTGGGAAATATTTTAATTTATCCAAGCTCATGCAGCCAATTTCTGTGGCAGAATCTGCACTTAAATTCAATCTGCTGGATTTTGATGTTTGTAACTCTAACTACCTTCCACATGGCCAAAAGTTTGGAGTTTCTAGCCCTAACGACATAAATATAAAACAAGAAGAGGAAGAAAAGAAAGATGTCTTCTCTTTTTAAGAAGTGATGTACATTTTCACACATGGAAAGAGCTGGGTTAAACACAAACCATCTATCATATCAGCCAAAAGAGCTCCTGGTAGAGAGCCAGAATCTGAGAGGGACAGGGAAGATGACTTGTGGAGAGAAGGTTCGGTGTGTCACAAGTTAAGGGGGGAATATA